CTGGGTGCTTTCTAAAACCTTTCACTAAAAGCCAGTCAGGCTAATAGGCTCTTTAGTAAGTACCTTCATTCTAAAAAAATAATCTGAAAACCAGGGTCAGTTTATGTAATATGGAATTAAGAAAGTATATACTAAATCAATTCAGTCTGACTTACTTCCTCCGGTTGCCAAGTAATCCTACTTCTGGAATTTATGGGTCAATGGGTGCTTTCTAAAACCTTTCACTAAAAGCCAGTCAGGCTAATAGGCTCTTTAGTAAGTACCTTCATTCTAAAAAAATAATCTGAAAACCAGGGTCAGTTTATGTAATATGGAATTAAGAAAGTATATACTAAATCAATTCAGTCTGACTTACTTCCTCCGGTTGCCAAGTAATCCTACTTCTGGAATTTATGGGTCAAGAAGAGGTCCCTAGCTTTTCAAGGGTAATGAGGACCTAGGGTATTCTTCTATTACCTTCACTCTGAAGAAGTATAGACTAACAGGGAACACTAAGTATGTAAGAAGTAGCAAAAAAACATGCAAATATAAATTCAAACTGCAATTTACCCAAATTTACCCATAATTTCCTAAACTATAATCTTCTTCTTATAATAATTTGCAGCATTACATAAAGATTGGCCACATAAAAAATGAGGGGATTGTTTTAAAAGTCCAAATGGTTCATGCTGACATTTTCAAAAATAAATGACTGATATTGTTTCAAAATGTTGCTTTGACTCACCATGTTTTGAATTTTTATCTATCTTTGTTTCGGTGAGGGAAGAAATCAGTTTTGGTTCTAAACTAAACATTTTTTTCAGATTTCTTTTGATTTGGTCCCTGCCCTGGGTCACTGATACAAATCCAGCCTAGATCAGTAGCAACTTACAGCTGTTTGCTATGAAATGAGTTGATGGCCTTTCTACTTCCTAGAATCCAGGAGTCCTCTTAACAAAATTTATTGTGATACTAGGAAATCCTAGTTGATGGTCTTAGTGGAGAGGGAATGGAAATTGAGCTAATTTACTTTCTCTAGTGGTAATACTTTCCATTCAAGGTTATGTGATTGGGAAACTCAAACTGTGCAATATCTATTTTACTGATAAATAAAAGACATCAGTCTTTACAGCTCTCACTCTAGCTGCTGTCACAAACACTAACTCTAGATACATTTTAAAAGAAGCTGAAGAATAATAATTTGACACTCAGTTTCTCACCCACACTTACACTTTATTACCTACATCCCACGTATACTGATGCATAAATAAAACTAATTTAAAGCTCAAGAGAGCAGATTTTTTCCCCTGCCCAGTTCTAGTCTTAGTAATGAATCTCTGGATATGTACAGATCAGCTCTGAGGCAACTGGCAATTCATATTAGGAGGGGGTGTAGAGGCGGCAGTACATAATGAGCTTTAGTCTTGAGTTCACCACTGTTCTGCATATAAATTTCTATTCTTATATGAAGTATGCACTTGGGCTAACCTAGAGCTAGTTGAATCTTACAAACAAAAAAGAAAAAAGTTAATGAATACTACGGGTTTGAGTCAGTGGAATTCCTTTGTTATTAATTTATTCATGAAGCTTTGAATGCATAATGTGTTGTGAAATGAACACGTATTCAAATATATCAGTTTGAGTTTACTAAATCTGGTTGCCCTCATACGTTCATTTCAGTATGGCTGATTCGGAAGCAAATTCTCTTGAAAGGAGGGGAGTATAGAATGCATTTTGGACTATTCTTCTTCATGCATGCTCTTGAAGTGACCACTACCCAAGGACTGTAACCTATAGAGGACGGCCTGGGGAGAGGTTGTAAAGGGAAGGAGGTGTAATATTTCCAAATAATGGGCAGAGAGAACTATCAGCCTCACTAAGGGATTCCATTGTTTTCATTTTGTGAGGGACTTCATCTGTCTGGGTGAGGATGGTTACTGATGTGTCTAGCTTTAAAAACAAAAAAACTTTCACCTATATGTAAAGTACAATGAGCTATCTTGATTTGACTAGTTACATGTGAAGTCAAATTTAGCTCTTCCCTTACTGAAGTCTGCAACCTTCCATCAGATACAGGACGCAGGAAAGGAAAAAAAGAATAACATTCTTACTCTGCTAGACACACACAAAAAATTGAATGGCTCCAACTGTATGCAGATAAATGCACATTTACCAAATATAAACCTCCATATTTCTGATTTGACTGGAATATAGGCATACAAGGTTACAGCTTGCTCAGAAAAATGTATATGGGTGGACTGAGGTTGAGATGGAAATAGGAGACAGGTTGGTTGAAAGTCTCAGAGTAAGGATAAACAGTGTAAGAAACAAGGGTGATGCCATGGTAGGGGTCTAATATGAACCACCAGGAAATGGCTCAGATTGGCTGTGATCTGCAGCCAACGGGAACTACAAGCACCCATACCTGTGGAGGTGCAGATAAATACAGCTGCGCCAGCCCACTCCATCTGCAGGCCGGTTATTGCCCATCGCTGTTCTAGGACCATGTGAGGTGAGAGGATTCCTGAGCCTAAATATCTGCACTGCAATTGAACAGCTGCTTAGCCTGCCTCAGATGGCATGGACCAGCTGTGTGTGTGGAATTGTCTAAAGGACTGTTGAACTGTGGTGTAGATGCTTGGGCTGGTGACCAGGCTTTAGAACCCTGTGAGGTGGGAGGGTCCCAGAGCTTGATTGCAACTACATAGCACCTTAGCTGGAGCCTCACAAGCCCTGTCAGCTGGCGCAGGCCTGGCACAGGAGTCCACTTGCAATTTAGACAAAGCTTTAGTAGCTGCTTGGCCTTGACGCCATGCCTTTCCTGTGCCATTGTCTCCTCCTGGAACATTTTCCTGACACCCTCAAGTTCTTCCTTAAAGCACACATCTACCAAGAGACCTGTACAACCTAATCCTCTCCTCTGGATGCATTAGAAAACTTAAAGAAAAGGCTGTGGAATTACAATACATGAACTAACTAACTTTATTGCTCAGTACCTTGCTTCCTCTTGCATCCCATCTCCCCATCCTTTGTCTGTTTAGAGTATAAGCCATTTGGACCAAAAATCTTGCCTGTGTATTTATCTGGGAAGTTCTTGTTCACCTTGGGCTGTGAATAGGTGATACTAATGTTTCTGTGTATATGTTTCTTTAATATGAGTATTTTGAAAATCCCTTCATAAGCTAACTGTTCTGTATTTGCATTAAGGTCAGCTGTTTCCTTTGATTTGCTCTTCATGCTGGCAGTCAAGGTTCAGTCCCTGCTTCACATCTATAACACAAGTGATGCCACTTTTTGCATAAGTGTGGGGATATCATTTTAATAATCTGATGCAGTTTCATTCTCCCTTGCTGTTTTCACACCCCGTTGTCAGAAGGTGCATAACCCACTAGTATATCACCCAAACACTTCGGGCTACACAAAGAACTGAGCTGGGCAGAATACCATTGCTGTGTTATAGAAGAACATCACTGTCCTTAACGTGAAAATTGCTGAACTCAAAAGAACAAAATAAAGATCTGAATCACAAACTTGATGGCCAGTAAGGATGTAAAAGGCTAAGGAGATTCAATTTGTTAGGATGCTTCTGGAAAGCTGCCATTTTGTTTTGTTTTTTGCTGTTTTATTTTGATTTTTTAAATTTGAAATTAAATGTGCAATTATTATTTTAAGGCTCTCAACCAGAATGCTGAACTAAGGAGTCGCTTGAACAGAATACATTCTGAATCTGTTATCTGTGATCAGGTTGTCAGTGTAAATATTATCCCTAGTCCTGATGAGGTAAGACTGCCTTTAATGGAATTAGTGTCTGAGTGAATCTAGCTAATACTCACTAATAACTACAAATGACTGAATTTTGCAAATTGGCATATAAGTGAGCAGACACATTTATATATAAAAAAGACAAAGAAGATGTATTCCATAGTATCTTTTATGAAAACAATGAAGTTTTAGCAATGTGAGATCTCACTGGAGAACTCTGCTATTACATTTCTGCTGAGAACCCCACTTATTTTTTAGTAATTATTGCATATGGATTAGTGAGGTGGGAATTAGTGAGAGTCTGTTGTATTTTTTATGTAATTGAATGAGTACTTGACAATGCCTGGAGCAGAGCCACGTAGAGCAGCCTGCAACAGTCAGTCTGCCTTAGGTTTCTGCTGGTAAGCGCCACTGGCACCCCATTCCCCAAGCTTCTGCCCTCATACCTCATCCCAGATCTGGCACCCCAATTCCCTGCCCAAATCACAATCACCTCCTACCCTAGGACACATCCCAAAATCCTGCATCCCAGTCCCCTGCCCTAGGTCACAACCGCATCCTGCATTCAAACTCCCTCTCAGATCCTCTTCTCCCTCCTGCACCCCAATCCCTTACCCCAAGTTCTCTTCTGCACCCAACCTCCATCCAGACCCTGAAATTCCTCCATTAATATCCTAGAAGAGTGCGGCCCTCCACCACTTTCCAAAATGTTGGAGTGCTCCCCCCACACCCCTCATCAAAAATGATTGCCCACTCTTGTGTTAACCTGATAGAAAGATAAACACACATTGTACATATGATTACATCACAGAGGGTATGTCTACACTAGTTAATTCGAACTAAGCTAATTCGAACTAACGGATCCAGACTAAAAAACTAGTTCGAATTAGCGTTTTGCTAATTCGAACTAGCATGTCCACATTAAGTGGACCCTGAACCAGGCTTAAGGATGGCCGGAAGCAGTGCCGGCAGGGCATCAGAGGAGGACTTAGAGCGTGGAGATGCTGTCTCAGGCTAGCCGAGGGCTGTGCTTAAAGTGTCCCGACCCCTACCCCGAACAGACAGTTCTCAGGGGTGCCCTGCTTGCAAAGCAGTCCTGGCTTGGATTGCCTGGAGTACCCACACTGGGCACATCACAGCACTCGGCCATCAGCCCGGCTGCACTTGCCACAGGCTGCCATCTGGGGAGAGGGGGCAATTGGGGGGCTGCAGGAAAGCTTCCACCCCCAGAAGCCCGCAGAGCCAGCCCAGTCCTCCCCATCAGGGGCGC